TTATGAATTTGTGAAACAAGCACAAGGTGTTATTGGCATGCATCCCCAGAAAAAAACCCTAAATCGATTCAAATTTCAAATCTCATTTTGAACTTATAAAAATCGTGAAGCAGTGGTATCAAACGCATTCGAGCAAGTATGTCACCCAAGTTATCAATTATAAAACTAATCAATTCACGGAAGTCTAATATTGAGTTAAGAGTTTGAATTAAATGGCAATTTTTCCAGGTTGTGAACACGAGTAGAATATTGGAAGATGTTTTTACATATACATGAAGTATGCTGCATTTGCAACACAGCAGATATACCCAGGGAAGTATTGTAATCCTGCAAAGAATCGAGAAAGAATTTATAAACATCAACTTTGCCATTTTGCAATTGCTTCCTTCTTCACTAAATTCAGCTGTCATCCCATCTAACAGCTGATCAGCTGAAAACAACAAAAGAACACTCCGCAACAAATAGTGCCTTCATTGTTTCCTTTTCTTCTTTCATTGCTTTCATCACATTGAACAAACCAATCCAATCATAAGCTGGTCAGCTAATTTTCCCAAGACTGCTGAAATGTTTTCTAACTTTTTTACCTGATGTTTTCCAAGTTTTATGGAATTTTGTAAAGCCCCAATTCTTAAATATATAAATGGTGAATTTGCCATGGGAAAATTTTTATGCCTGTGTTGTGTATTTTCAGTTGCAGAAGCAAACACCCAACAAGATGTAAACAATGCCTTGGCATAATGTTCAGAATGGTGTAATTAGATTGATGGTTTACCATCATCTCTTAAACAGAATAAAACTATTTTTCGATAGAAATTATAGAATGGTTTGTTGTGATCAAATGCAATTCGATATATGATCACCTGCTTGATGAGTTGAAATATTACAATGTCAGTGCTGAGTAATGAGTTGTTTATCATCTAAGATGAAAGTCAATAATATCTAGCTGTATTCTATTTCGTCATAGACTAGTTTTCTATAATGTGGTAAAAATTTTTGTGTAGGTTTGGAATTACTGAGCACATAAAGGCGTGGCACACACATTTCATGTTACACCCAGATGTTGCCTGAAGATCGCCCTACGGCGTGAAACTCCAGTAGCGACAGCAAACACTTGTCTAATCTATTTTAACTCATGAACCACTGCCATTATCTAATAAGTCAAGTATTGATTACCTCCATGTCCATGATAATGTGATTTTATATGACACTGAAGGTTTTTGTAAAGGAAGAATTGTGTTTTTTTTAATTAGGAGGTACATTATTTTAAGAATTGGCTGACGAAGAAATTGAACTGACAGAAGAAGAAAAAAAGTATATTCCATTGGTAACACCAAGTCACATGTTAATTTTTACAACTGGTGCAGCAAATGTCCCATCAACTGTTCATGATGACAAGAAAATGATTCCAAGCGCAAAGACATGCTCTGACACCCTTAAGATTTATGTTAATGGCTAAGCTATTGCACTATTTCCTGACTGCTTGCATGAATCTTTAAAGAAATTCATCCAACAGTTACTTCTGTGCTTTCTTAAGAATGACCACCATTTGCTGATGATTATTTGCTGACGATGAGCCATATCTATGTGCCTTAACACCAGCCAAATCATCTTCACATGCTTCTTAAATATGCCTGCATGGCAGACATGATAACGTCAGTGACGTTATCTGTTCGTAATAGAGTTGGGCAACCCTGATACTTAGTGACAGTATGTAAAATGCTTTCCTGTTACTGCAGGATCATAATTTGTTCTGCATACTTTCAACCACAGTACCTTGACTATATCCGTCGATACATCCATGCACCGGAAAGCTGTATGGCTGAGCTTATCGTAGACGACCACAAGCCAAACATAATTTCGCCCTGGAGAATGATAAACTCGTCGACGAAGAGTGCCAGACTTTCTTAAATGTACAACTTCTGGGCTTAGTTCTTTCACCAAACGTCTGAATGTTTTGCAAGGAGCCTGCATCCCTTCTAGCTTCAAGGTATGACTAACGAAGCGATAACCAAATGTATTTAAACATAGTTATAAACAACTTGGTTTTATGGAATTTATTAAAAGAGTGAATTTATTATAAAAGCAAATTGTTTATCACTATGTTTAAAATTATATGCTGGGCTCTAATATTTATATTGAGAATCCGTATCCCGCCTGGCACCTCATTGGCAACAGTGTCGTTAAGCTTTAATGCATAATCCCATGCGCAATACTTGTGCTTTTGACTGTCTGTAAACAGCTTGACGCAACTTTTTTCTTGAATAGGTAAATCTTAGTTAAAATGTACACAAATGAGTTAGAAAAGTTAGCTTACCTACGACCGGGAACATATTAGTGGAATGTATTTTTTGAGTTTTTTTTTGTTAGGAGTGATTCTGGGTGTCTTATAAGGTATTATGATATTCTGATAAAACTACGAAGATCTTATGAAGAAAATATCTTGAACTAGGAGAGCAAAAGAACGAAATTCAGAAATTCTATAATCATGTTGCAGGTTCTTTTAAACCAAGATTTTCCAAACTGGATTGTCTTTGACAACTATGGATCTACTACTGAACAGAGCTACATTAATTTCCCATTGAAAACACGATTTCTTAAATTAAAGTGATTTGGTTTCTCTGACATAACACTTTTTATTATTGCTGCATGAAGGCAAACCTGTTTAAATAATTATAATGTAGGTGAAGATATTTAGCATGTTGTATAGTTCTTATTGTATAGTCATTATTTATCATATTATGGCCTTGTGTAATGTATGTCAAGAAGAACATATTAATTCTCAAAATGCTAACCTTCTTGCACTACTTTTCTCTTGTGTCCTATAAATTTCAGTTACCTATACTTATTTTTCCTAGGTTCAAACAACTTGACAAACTTTTGAATTTTACATCAGTTTGAATTTTCCTTTTTGTCTTTTTGTTAAAAATATCAGTGAATGACTTAAAATTAAGTTTATCTAAAAATATTTTGTACAAAGAAACTATACATAATTGGAAAAGTCTCGTGTTGAAGACAGATGTAACTTCTTTTACTAGATTGCTATTCTTATTCTTTCAAATAATATTTAATTCTTCATAAGACATAAAAGTGCTTTGCATCAATTTTGCTTCTTCCACATTCAACTTCATTGCAACCAATCCATGTGAATTTTAAATGATTGAAAACGTATGGATTTTGTCAGATGATGCAGTACTGTGTTTAATGTTTCGTGCATGTCATTATAAGCTTTTCTTGAGCAAATATTTCAACGTAGGAGCATAATTTGGCACATTATTGAACAAATTAGTTTTTATCTTGGTTTTGATGCACTAACCTGTTTACTATAACAAACAATTCATTTACAGAAATCCATATGGCATTTATAAAACTTTAGCATAAAGCCAACCTTCACACCATCATCATGATTGTTCAAAATCTGTCCCATTATTCGTCATCTTTAATGGTGTTATGTTCATCGTCATGCTGAATATCTATCATAAGATACGAATATCTCGATAAGAATTGGTTGCTTTGCTAGTCTAGCAAGCGATTAAGTAAGAACAAATAAGACTGGATAAACAAACTTTAAATTATAACTTAGGACTAAAAACATCCACAAAATATATGCCATCACACTTCAAGTATTGACTTAAAACAAAACACTGAACACTTTAATTGGTAAACAATCTTACGCTGCTTACCGTTGTCATGAAATTGACTGTTGGCTGTTTTCCTTTTCTGGCATTACTTCAGCATCCTTATACCAAACAAGTTTGCAGCATGTTTTAAGATAAAATTTCTAAAGTTTTTGTGCTTGGCATTGACATTTTATATAATCGCAATTGTGGTTGTCAAATCTGGTGGGCAAAAAAATTATTTTATGAGCCAGCGTCTTTCCGCTGACTTTGACAACCAAAATCCGCCATGTTTCTGACCACGCGGCCGCTTCGCTATAATTTATAGTAATTTGGTTGACATTTCCCCTCCAGGTCTTATAGAACTCAATGGCTACCACACTCAACACTACAATCATCACAACATTCATCACCACATTCATCACCACATTCAACTAAATTTGTCATTCAAAATGATAAATTGAAAAATCGTCTTTAAAACACGTTCCTCATGAAATACAATAACAAAGGCTACCGGTCATATCTAAAGGAGAATGGGAACGAGAATGCTTTAATATAAACTGTGAAGTTGGCACCACGTTGGACAAACAGCTCTATAGCAAAAAACTACACGGTAGAATTTTTTAAACTCAAGTATATTATAAATTTATATTATCTAAAATATAAATCAAACATTTAGAAATGTACAAAATTTAAATGGGTAGAAAACATCGATCCTGCTTTCATGCGCGATGCTTTTAAAGCTCCATTGGAAACCTCTAAAAGGCCGTGCATCGTGCTATTTTTTATGTTTAAGGTAGTTAATAACCTTTTCATGCACTTTCACTGCTGTTTAACAGTAACTACCATAACTATATTACACGATCAAAGCGAAATATCCACAAATTATTCGCAAACAAAGTATGGGGCACTGGATAACAATAAATTTGCATCGGACGTTTGGAATGCCTTACCCCTTTCCTAAGAGATGTGCCCGCTTAAGACATTTTTAAGCGTTGTATCAAAGAAAACATATTTTAATTAGTTTCGTTTTAGCATGATAAATTTTCAAATGTTGTTTTTAACTTCATATTTTCGATTGTATTTCTTTTCTTTTCTATTTTTTAGTAGTTACAGGACCCTCTGTAAACCGCTTTTTCAGTGATGTTGGCATCGCCAATAAAGATTAGCTATTATTATTTATCGACAAAGTTGGATGACTTAAATGCGCGTAAAACAATCTTGAATAATTAAGTTACGAATTCCGGTTCTTTAACAGACAAAGGCCTATAAATGAAAAACTACACAGTAGAATTTTTTTAATTTGGCAATATTGTAGATATTTTGTGTATAACATATGCAAATTCTGGAGTGCACATAAATATAGAAGGAATAAAATTCATTAAGAATGTACTCTGGTATAAACTGTGAAGTTGGCACACATTCGACAAACAGCTCTATAGCTAAAAAACTACTTGAGTAGCATTTTTTTTTAAACTCAAGAATAATATAGAATTTTTTATGTCTAAAATATATCCAAAATTTAGAAAGTGAACAAAAGCATAAATGGTGAAAACATCGACAAAATTAGTTGACACGAATGCACGTAATATAATCTTATATATTAGCAGCGGGTCACCTAACTTTATCGATAATTTTCTACAACTTTATTTTTGTGCACTCTCAGATTTTGGATATGTTATGGAATTAAAAAATATACCATATGCAAAGTTTAAAAAATCATACCAGCGTTTTTGGATTAATATGCCTTTGTTTGCTAAAAACTGGAATTCTGAACTTAATTATGTATTTATTACGCGCATTTGAGTCATCGCGCGTTTGTCGAATGTGGTGGCAATTTCACGTTTATACAAAGTACATTCTTAATGAATTTTATTCTTTTATTTTTTGTTCACTTTACAGATTTTGGATATATTTTAGACAGTTCAAATATCTACCATATGACCAAGTTTAAAAAATTCTACCGCGTGTTTTTTTAATTATACGCTAAATAAGAGAAATGAAAAGTACACTGTAAAATAAATTTGAGTGTTTTCTTTAATTTTGACATTTATACATTTTTGTGATGTTTAAGGACAGTAAAATAATAAAGTAGTTAAAATTGTTTTACTATTGTATTTGATGGGAAATGTGTTTTAAAGACGATTTTTCAATTTATCATTTTGCATGATAGATTTTAGTTGAATGTAGTGATGAATGTTGTGATGATTGTTGTGTTGGATGTGGTGCCCATTGTGGTGCCAATTTCACAGAGTTTTAGTTTGTGGTTGTTGATAGTAATTTTTAATATACAAGGCAATAAACAAAATCCTATATTGTCACCCCCAGTTAAGATTTCTCGTTCCAGTCTCCTGTACATATGACCGGTAGGCTTTGCTATTGAACTTTGATTTTGCATTGCAACAACAGGTTTTGTGCATCAGTCAGTTTATTTAGCATTGCAATATTCAATTTGTTTATAACTTTTATTTTAATTTGTATCGTAGTAAATTTGTTGTGCATTCAAACATTATTTTTAATATCAAATATTTTTGAATTTAAGGGAATGTTGTGCATTGACAAATTAATTTGTGATTGCAGATACAGGCCACCGTACGAACGAGATATAAATATATTTGGATCGTTTTTCGCCTGAACGAGATATAAATATTATTTGCGATCCTTTCATTTGTATAAAATCTTGAACAATTGTCAAATAAACAAATCTTAGCAATCGTCAGTAAAACTGAGGAACGTTATCATTCCGAAACAAACGATCTCAGTATTCATCGATTGAAACACATATTTCACATTGTCTGAGACTTTCAGTCCAGACATAGAGATCAATTCTTTACGTCATTAGCTATAGTTGTTACGTAGCTGTAAAGAGAGAGAGAGAGAGAAGCACTGCGCATGAGTTAACCAGTTGTGCTGCTGTACATGTGAACAAGTTAGCACGCTTTGGTTATCATCCTCGTGGATTTTGATTTTTGTTGTAGGAAGTTTCCTTTACCTTGGAATTTAAGAAGCTAGTTTCTTTAGTCTAGCTGCATTTACGTTTTGATTTGTGAAAGATGTCCGACTGCGAGCTTACTCTTGACGTCAACCAATCGCGCCTCCAACTGAAAGCTCTTCTTTATTTGGTATGCCTTCTGCAACAAAATACCATGCAGAAACCAATAAATTACTTAGAGCTTTACAACCTTTGCGCCAAAACAAAATATTTTTAATGATGTCGAGTCAGAAGACTCAATAATGCTGACTCAGAAGGCAACACACCAACCAGAGGCTTACGTGCGCCAAACTCAGAGGAAGTTTTAGGTAATTCAGCCACTGACGCAACTAATATTTAGCAAAACAATGACGATGTTGTTAATTTGTTTGGTGGAAATAGTTCGATTATATTGATTCAAATAATGATGACTTTTTGCAAAGAAATCGACGTTTTGTTAAGACCTTAAAATGCATGCTGTCAAGCGATTCATCCCAAAATCACTCAAATACAAATGAAAAATTTTATTAAAATATTGGTCTTGAAAGCGCAAGAACAATAATTGAAAATCTAAGCTACACAAAATTGTGACAAACGTACTGTGCAAGGTCAATGAGCCTATGGTCAAGCCTTAAAAACTTCCATCGTCAGGATTTGCGCACCGCAGTTCTACAAGATTCTATTGCGCGTGCGGTTCTCCTCAGTTACTGTCGATAACTTATTAAAATGTAGAGAGACAGAAGTCTTTTCAGATTTTCAGGTCATCCTGCCCAGGCTCTTTCATGCCGTTACCTTATTAGGGCATAGCTTGAGCTGTCATACAAGCGTCGAGATTCAATCCGTCCGCTTCTTAGTTGCAAATTAAAACCTATGTGTAACCGCTCAAATAAACCTGAGGAATTTCTGTTTGGTAATAACCTAAACAAAATCATGACTGATGCCGTGCAAGGCAAAATGCCAACCAGCGATTTCACACCTCGCCCACGTTTCGTGCCATACCAACCCGCAAAGCGAACTAATTTTTCTCCAGAAGGGGAGGGGTAACTTCTCCCTAGCAACAACAATTTCGGCAACCATTCCGCCTTCAATTCAGACAACAGACTCATCAATAGATTTACAGGTCAATAACTTTCCTCTTTATTTTACAGAAAAATATTACCAACACTTACACGCAATGTACAATTATTAACAGGGGAACAAATACGTCGTTTTCTTCAAAATGGCAATAATTGACATCTGATCCACAAATATTACAGATGGTAAAAGCATATGATTGATTTTGTCCCAAAGTCCTCATATTGTCAAATTAGGTCAAACAAGTCTATACATATGCAATGAACACGCTTGGATTAAAACGGAAATCTCAAAACTCCTGGCGAAACACGTCATAATATGATCCACCGAACAGGATGAGTTCATCTCACCTGTTTTTCCGTTCAAGGAGAAATGACAAGGTCAGATTAATTCTTAATTTGAAAAAATTGAACAAATATGTAAATAGGATTAATTTCAAAATGCATTCTATCCATACTGCACTATCATTTATCTCAAACGGATGCTGGATGGTATCACTGAATCTGAGAGATGCATACTATGGTGTTAATATAGCTGAATATTAGTTAAAGCTTTAAATTTCACAGGAGTTTAATAGTATACATAGATGACTTATTGAATTTTGCAACATACGAAGGATGCGCAAAAACGATTATAGGCTTATTGTTTAAGTTTAAGTTTATCATTCCGTAAAAATCTTCCATCCTAACAAGCTGCCGTGGGCACGTTAAACGCTGGGCAACCAGGGCGTTCGCTGCGGTTTGATGATTCATGAAGCACATTGTTTACTGATACGTTGGCGGGCAGACTTTCAGACCTTCGCCATCCTCGGAATCCCCTCGGACACTCTTTATTCCGGTGAAGGTTGACATGTTTTGCTTACATGCGAAGAATGGCGAAGACCATTATAAATCAGTGAACGAACAAAGTGACGTGAAACTCGAACTCGACGGTGCAGATGGCTTTATCTCAAATGGTGAAAGGTCAATCAACATGCATGACATTTGTATCTCCTTGGGAGATGTAGTAGTTCACTTAGATGCATCACTTTCTGGTTTGGGGTGGTGTTTTGTGGAACCAAGAACTGGCGCATTCTGGAAGTAATTTAAGATAATCAAAAGGATATCAACTACCTAGAACTTCTAGCTGCCTATTTTGTTTTAAAAAAATTTCATTGTTCTCTTGCTTTGACAAACATGTATGATTCTGCTTTACTGCTATCTCCGTTATTAACAATTAAAGGCACAAATAATAGTGCATCCTGCAATGATACTGCTCGTAGCATTTGGTTATTATGAACACAATAATATGTGGTTAACTGTTTATACCAAGGACGCAGAATGTGATCGCCGATAAAGAATCACGAAATAAAAGATTGACACTGATTGGACACTTAATCCTGACGTATTTGTCCAAGCTCTGACGCAATTTGTTTTCCTTCCTGACATCGATCTGTTTGCACTTCGCGCCCAAATCATCAATTTGGTCACTACGTTTCTTATAGACTAAACCATATGAACATGCTATTGATGCTTTTAGTACAAACTGGAAAAATAAAATTTCTGTTGTTTTCCCCATTCAGCTGCATAATGCAAGCAATCCGCAAGATAATAGAAGAAAAGGCCAGGGGAATTTTAGTTTTTCCAGACTGACCAACAGATTGGTACCATTGTTAGTACAAATATTAGAGAAACCGCCTCAACTCTTACCACCGAAACCGACTTCCTAGTTCTGCCTTCTCAGCAATCTCAAGCACCCATTACACAGAAACTAAACATTATTATCTGTCTTTTATCAGGCGTAAACTACAAGTAAAAGGGTTTTCAGCGGACACAAGAGACATTATTCTAAACTCAAGGCGTGATCACACGAGAACGCATACCATCAACAGCTAAAATTGGTTTGAATTTTGTCGTACTAATGATTGCGATATCGTAACCTCTCCTTGCCCGGCTTTCACTTTTCTATCAAAATTATATAAGTCAGGACTATCATATAGTTGAATTAATACGGCTAGAAAGTGCTTTATCTTCAATCCTCACATGGGAAGGCAACAATACGCCATTCGAGGTTGCCAATTGTCAAACGATTAATGAAAGGTAATGCAAACTCGGCCATCATTACCAAAATATTGCTTGAAATGGGATGTAAACATTGCATTAAACTATCTTCGTCGCCAGGAAGCTCTGGTATCAACCCCCTCAAAGAACTGTCTCACATTCTTGCTTTCCTCCTGTCCCTCTTAAATAGGCAAAATGCCAAACAATTAATAAATTGTCTATAGATCATATGGTAATTGAAGACTCTAAGGTTACTTAGTTAACAGTAAAAGCTTAAACATTCGAGAACTGGTACTTATCAACAACCATTAATATTTTCCTGCTCCGCCGAAAAGAAGATTATGTGTAGCCAGTCATATTTTGGAATATTTAAAATGTACGGTAGTAAATGGTGACAATAAAAACTTCCTATCGTCTTTTATAAAACACACCGCCCTATTTCACTGAAACTTCTTCATTGGGTGACGTTTTATGACTGATGCTGGTATTGACACATCTATTTATACAAGTCATAGTACAAGGGCGGCCTCAACTTCTCATCTTGCTTCAAAAAACCATGATATAAAAGATATAATGTGTGCTGGGATGGTCAAAAGAACAAACTTTTCATAGTTTTATAATTTCAATACACAAAGTTTTAATTTTGGGAACTCTGTTTAGAGACCTTCACCTGACGAGTGTCTGTATATAGTTTTCTGATTATTCATGTTTAATTATGATGGTTTCCTTCGTGATTTTATGATGGCTTGTTTGTTTGTCATTCCAAATATTGGTACAATGTTTGCTAAACCTCCTACAACTGCGTAACGACTATAGCTAATAACGTAATAGAATTGAAAATTAAACGAGAGCTACCTTTAGTCGAAGTCTGATTATAGTTCTATTAGTCATTAGCGAGAGGTAGAAAAGTAATAAACTTATACCGGCATAAAGTACACATTTAAAGTTATCTAATGTTAGAAATTGTTTCTCTCTTAGCTTTAGTATTAGGGATTATTGTTATTTAGGATTATTTTGATATCTGGTAATAAACAAACATTTCCGGAAAGCACTAAAATGTAAATTTTGTTGCATTTTAATGCAGCAATTTACAAAAAGTGATATGGCTCCACCTTGGCCACGTATGCAATACCGTCACAAAACATGAAACTACGTCGGTTGCATATTCTTTCATCTAAGTATACTACGTCTGTAATCAATTCATACAAAATTTTGAGCTTTATTGATGCACCAATTTGTTGTATATTTATTAATATATTTGGAAATATATTTACCTCTTCGTCGGCAATGCAATTCTCACACAGAAATTTTCTTGGTCTGTAATATTTTAATTCACCATCAACTTGTCGAAGCATGTGAAATAATCATCGTCAAGTTTCAAAATGTCTTAAAATCATAGTGTTCATTTACCCATTGAACAACCAAAGGATTCGTCGATGAATTTCTGCCTGATGGCGATTCTGCAAATATAAAGGTCGTTATGTTTACTATTTTCTTGATGCAATGGAGCCAATACATCGTTAAGCAGCAGCCCTTTATTATCTTGTGCATCAGTGACAAAGAACAAAGCAACTTCCTCATTTTCTTGACATTTTTTCCACAAGTTTCTCGAACTGCCCTCCGCCGATCAATTCGGATAGGGCTGATACTATTCCCAGAAATAAGAATACTGAAATTTTACTTAAATCACTATCAGGCTGTACTTTGTTTGAAATGTCAACTTGGCTGTTCATTCGCACAATATCTTCATTCAGCTGGTAAGCACAGACTGTTTGTTTTCCACGGCAAAAAGCCTTCAAAATTACAAATATTATCACAAATAAAAACTCACAAAACAAACTCCTTCGTTATTTTTTTTGAAAGCCTATCTTTAAATAATTGAAATATTAATCTTCATAAGTCAAATATATCAAAGCACTTAAGATGAAGAATTATAGTATGGTCCAGTGTTTCACTTTGTAGGCGTTTAAGCACAGCAATTAGCATTAATGCTTAGCAAAGGTGATTTCATCTTGTGTCATCTGATGTTGGGAAGTATTCTTGATGAAGGCCTTCATCATTAAGAGGTTGTTGGTTTTCTTATAGTTTTAGACACTGTGAAAATATTTATGAAGACCAATGAACTTTGATGAAGTCTAGTTAGTTTTAAACTTATAGCAAAGTGATTCTTCATCACAAATAATCACTGAATCATCTTAAAACCTTAAATTTAGGCTGCATAAATACTTGACATTCAATAAGATAAATCACTGCAATAACTTAAAAGTATTCTTTCAGTGTTTGACCCACAATTTATAAAATTGATACAATATTTATTTAAACAAGCACAAATATTACTATACCAAGCTTGTTGCCTTTATTCAAATTTTTGTGTTTTTATTTCATTTTGAAATGTTTTATATAATAATGCAAGATAACTTGCCTCTTAAGTTAGTCGTTTCATTATTTAGAATAGAACTTGTTAAATTGGTTGCTATCACAAATGAGAGCTATATTTATTACATACAAAAAATTTAGAGAATTGTATTGCTAGCTGTGAAATTAACTAGATGGAATCTTTCAATGGAATATCAACAGGGGCGGAATTAGAGTATGTCAAATCCGTTGCGGACAGATGTTTGAAATTCAAAATTACCTATTCATATTAATTAAAATTCATTAATTTTTCTTACTTTATCATCGCATTTGCTTCGTGATAAAAATCCAGCTTTTTATTATTGAAAACTAATGACTAATCAATGAATATCTCGTTGGTAACCAGATCAGTTGAATTTTAATTGACCTGGAATGACCGACTGATAAGCGGGTATTGACTGGCTCGACGGATAAAGGAGTCTATGCACGCCAAAACGCTTATTTTATTGGTCAATGCAGATCAGTGGACAGTCTGGAATGGTCTCGACTGATAATAGAAGTGTGGACGTATAAAGGAATCCAATTGCTATCTTACAATTGGTTCATTTGAATTTTTGTTTTATTATTATTGGTTTGACGGATTTCGACTGACAGCCAACTGAACTAACACAGTCAAGCTCACTGTGTGAATTGAATGCTTGATCGTTTTATAGTAATTTTTATAAGCATGATAGAAACTAAACTACAATCAGATGGAATTTATAGAAATCTTTTATAAATTCATATATTGACATGAATGCTGCTGTCCAAACTGTGAATTTTTTCAAGAGGGCGAATAATTTATGGTTGAATTGTAAATGTTTGGCAAATACGATCTCAGGAGCGACATTTCAGTCATTGATGTTAAAAAGCAAGCCATCATTCTTTTGAGTTTTATCAACAGAAATTTACATCCAAAATCGTAAGTAAAGGACAACTGAAGTGTATGCATGAATGTAATATATCAAAGTCAATTTATGCGAGTGTGTGATGCGACTTATGTTAATTTGGCGTATAGTAAACAGATTGATGCTTCTAAAACTGTTGTTGCCGCAACTTTTCGCTATGATTTCTTTAATTCTTGGGGGATCGTGACCGTTATATGGAAGTGAAATCCTACATTCCTGCAAATTTATTTCAATGGACAAAAATCTGTAGCCATAGGCGCCATACTCTTATTTACTTTATCATAAACAAATGTTTGGGGCTTTTCAGTTTATGATCATTGATCATTCAATCATTAGACAGTTATAATACAAATTGTTTAAGATTTGAAAACTAACATTGATTACATGAGAGCTGTTTACTATAACCTATGATTTTGAGTCTTCTGATCCATGAAGTTTTTTATTTTGACAATTTGACTGGAATGGTATTAAACCTGAGTATTTCACCTACATGAAATGTTGTCCCATGTCACATATTGACCCATTTTCTAATTGAACACCTATGTAGAGAGATGTAAGGTGTGTTAATCTATAGCTTATACAAGATTGTTTTGCCATAAATTCCAAAGTAAAAAATGTCTTCAATGTATGCAGATAAACCTTGAAATTGCCAAAACAGCAAAGTATTTTTCATGATCACTGGGTAATTTTCTGATGATCATTATAATTTCTAAACTAAATTAGTTCAGATTTACATTTAAACGAGCTTTGATCATATGAAAAGATATTTATCATAACCAGTAAAGCATGACACATGAACAATTTTAACATTCATGATTATATAATTAAAGACATGGTGGTTACATTCTGTTTGTATTTGCTAATACAATGCTACTAATGATTGCTATATAGCACACTTGCATATGCTCTCACAGAAGATAATAGTTTAGTGAATGCTTAATAAACATTTATGGCATTAAACTTTCCTTAACTGAAATTTTCACTGTGATAAATTTTGCTAATCTTTAGAAAAAAATTTTGAGTTTTTCTCAAAATGTGAGTTTGCTGGCATGTAGAGACAGGTAAAGAGGTTACAATAAACTTGCATGGTTTTGAGTATGAGCTTTTCTATATTTACTTTGTTTTGATGTTTGAAAAATCTTAGATCAACCCTGAATATCAAGATGGATAAAAATGCAATCAGTGGATGCTGCATTGGAGAAGAGTAAGAGCTGATATAATTTATGCTGTCCTTAATGTCATGCGATTCCCCACAAGAAACCATGTGGTTTTATTGAAAGAGAGCGGTAATCAGGTGTCGTGTGGTCCCACTGTCTTATTATCTCAAGATTGTGATGTTGTCACCCATAAAGTAGTAAACCATTACATGACAGTGTGGCTTGGTTTTAATGGTTTCTACCAGTCAGTTTCCACAACTGAAACATTCTTGTCAAATGGGCAGTTGGGGTTTGTTAGTTAGTATGTTTTATGATCATGATGAAAGGACAAATCAGGCATTCTAAAAAATAGTTTTCTTTTTAGAACGATATGCACCATTTCTGTTTTGTAAAGAGTGTATAAATTGTAACTCTAAGACTGAATTATCCATTATTCCAAGTGACGACATGTGTATTGTAGTCACAATGAATGGTAAGTAATTGCGAGGTGAAATTATTGTCATATAAATGTATTTTGCCTAAATAGTAATATTTTATAAGTTAAACATAATTTTTTGGTGTTTTTGTAGAGCAGAAACATTGTATTCATTTCACACAGTTGCTCATACTGCAATCAGCATTTTTCACCAATGGTGATGGAGAAAGTAGTAAGTGAAGGATATTGTCCTGGTAGCCTGGAAATTTTAACTATGTTTTCAGTGAAGATGTAATTAGAATGTGGGATTCCATCAGAAAGCACATGCCTGGCAAATCCGAATCGGCATTTTTAAAATCTTTGGGGTCAGTGTCCACTTCAAAGAACAGTGTAAAATCTCAATAGTATAAGATATTTGTTTTTATAACGAAGATGCTTCATATTAAAATTACCTAACTGAAATAATTTACTTAGTCAAAGTAAGTGCAGCTTTTAATTAACGTAGAAGGTGTTTTTATTTGACTGAAGGCATTGTTTATTTTCTTTTTTTCAGTCAGATGTTATTAATCCTAGAGTTTTTCCATCATTTCAAGAGTAGTGTTTGTTTGTCATGAAATTGACTTAATTGTGGGGAATGGATACAATGCCCCAATTGCTATATATCCCGGCATTACTGTCATTTTGATGGTAATGCTAAACTCTATCGCTACAAATGTGTTCCAATGTACTGTGTTTTTTGGCTAGAATGTAAATAAAACTTTTGTAATTTTAATCATGTGCATTGCTTGTGTTTCGATGTTACCTGTTTTAGCAGTGAAACTTGTTTGTACTATGACCTCTGGGGTGCCGGTGCAGTGCTCTAACAACTGAGCTGTGAAGTCACGGTGGCAAGCAGGTCTATTTGTTGGGCTAATTTTTCCCGTGAGATGAATGTCATGTGAAAGATGTTATATGCAGTGTGCTTATTTGAAATTAAATCGGGATAAGATCTTCACACTTTGTTGCATTTAGGAATTGTCTCATGAACTTGAAAAATTCAGGTGAGTCAATGGCATTAAGGTGACTCAGGTGACTGATCTGATTCAGGTGACTCATCCCGTTGAGTCACCTGAATTTTCAGTTGATGAGACAATTGCTTCATTGTCAAACTAAAGTGCAAGCATAAAATCTCATTTATTTTCAACACCGCACTGCATACAACTTGTTCTTTCATAATCAACTCACTGTCTGAATTGAATGTTTGATCGTTTCATAGCAACGGTTTTATAAGCATGATATAAACTAAACTACAATCAGATGGAATTTATAAAATCTTCTATAAATTCTATGTTGACATGAATGCTGCTGTCAAACTTCTTGAATTTTTCAAGATGGTGAAAAATTTAAGATGAAATTGTAAGAAATGCTTAGTAAAGACAATCTCGTGAGCGAAATTTCAGTCATTGCTGTTCAAAAGAAAGCCAACGTTGTTTAAGTTTTATCAGCAGAAATTTACATCCAAAATGGTAAGTAAAGGACATGTGAAGTGTATGCATGAATGTAATATATCAAAGTCAATTTATGCGAGCGTGTGATACGATTTATGTCAATATGGCGTATGGTAAGCAGATTAAGGCTTCTAAAATTCTTGTTGCCGAAGGACTTTTAGCTATGATTTCTTTAGTGCTTGGGGATCGTGGCCGTAATATGGCAGCGAAATCCTATATTCCTGCAAATATATTTCAATGGACAAAAAATATGTAGCCATAAGGCGCCATACTATTATTTACTTTGTCATTAACAAACCTTTGGGGCTTTTCAGTTTATGATCATTGATCATTCAATCATTGGACAGTTATACTACATATTGTTTAAGATTTGAGAAAAGTAACATTGATTGCATGAAAGGTGTTTACTATAACCTGTGATTTTGAGTCTTCTGATCCATTAGGCTTTCTATTTTGACAATTTGACTGGAATTGTATTAAACCTGAGTATTATTTCACATACATGAAATGTTCTCCGATGTCACATATTGTCTTTTCTGATTTAGACACCTCATGTAGAGATGTAAAGGTGTGTTAATCAAACTCATACCAGATTGTTTGCCATAAATTCCAAAGGGCTATTGATGTATGAAAAGTATTTTCTATAAAAGTAAAATGCTTCCTATGTATGCAGATAAACCTTAATTTGACAAAACAGCAAAGTATTTTTCATGATCACTAGGTAATTTCTCTGGTGATCATTATAATATCTAAACTAAATTATTTCAGATTTACATTTAAACAAGCTTTGATCGTATGAAAAGATATTTATCATGACCAGTAAGTATGACACATGAACCATTTTTAACATTCAAGTAATATTATAATTAAAGACATGTTGGTTACATTCTGTTTGTATTTGATAATATAATGCTACTAGTGATTGCTATATAGCACACCTTGCATATACTTACAGAAGATAATAGTCTAGTGAAATGCCTAATATACATTTATGGCATTAAGCTGTCCTTAAAAGCAAATTTTCACTTTGATAATTTTTGCTTAATCTTTGCCCGAAAAAAAGGTGAATTTGCTGGCATTGTATGTGGAGATGGGTAAATTTTACAATAAAAGTTGCATGGTTTGAAGTCAAAAGGCTTTATATATCTATAAACTGTCACCTGTAGTAACAAATTTCTAACTTAACTCATTACATGGAGGTTTGAATAGGGGGTTTAAGGGGGGTCTATGCAAGACAACTTAATAGAAATTTTTAGAGACTACATCTGTATTTGAATAGCATTATTGTAAAATAAATTTTACCTTCCTGAACCTAATAGGCCATATATTTAAGGATGATAATGTGAGCCTAAATATTTGGCAAAACATTCAAGTATAGTTCACTGAATTTTTTAAACTAAACTTAAAAATGTTGTTTTATAAAAACGATGCCTATAGCATATGTTTGACATGATAATAACCTAATATTTGTTAACATCCGTATTGCTCCACTTTTTTGAAAGGTAATCAAAATAATGTTGTTTTACAGAAAAACTGATGCCAACAATATATTTTGTATTGCTCTGAAACGCTGAAAATGGCATTTTCAAGGCTCTGAAATTGAAAATTTGTCAGGGAAGAATGCCTCAGACCCACCAACATTTGGAGCGCCTCCGATGTTCTATGACTAATGTTTGAAAAATCCTGAATCCGCCCGGCACGTCCTTTCAGGATAAGATTACTGAACTAATATATATTGATGAGGAAGAAGAAAATACCTGAAAACTCCACAATTTCATCCCGACAAGCCTGTTTCATGATTTCTCACTCTTCAGGGTATAATATTAAATGAATACAAAGCATGTGCTAGATTATGTATACAAGAGGAAGTTAGGTTAAAAATTGAGATAGAATTACATAATGTATTGAGTGTACGATTACAAATTACATAACAGTGCTTTGTGTCTATGGCGACAAGAGGAGATAAGTTCGTTACCTTTGTTGAGTGATGATAGTTGTGGTTGGTAGGTGATGAAGAATTTTTCTTTCAGGCATAGGTCGCATTCATAACACTCAAACATCACAAACCGAACTTCGCAAATAAACCCACGTGCCGACTAATCAACCCGACGAAATCTGAAATTGGTAAAATTAGCAAAAAAATACTTGACAGAATAAACAACAATATCATAAAAGCTACTTCGCTGAACCAATGGAAAAACTCGTCATCTGTCATCAAGTGGTTCAACTCCATCAAACACAAACAAAATCACAATTTCATATCTTTCGACATTGCACTTGAATTCGCCTCAACCCACGACAACATCACAAACCAAGAGAGAAACATTATCATACATGCCAAGAATTCATACCTCATTCACAACCAACAACAATGGCAAAAGAAATACAACTCCACATTCGACGTGACAATGGGCAGCTTCGACAGCGCCGAAACATGCGAACTTGGCAGGAAGCATCTACTCTCACAGCTACAGCACATCATTACTAACATAGGACTCTATCGCGACTACGGACTAGCCATTACTAAAGCAACACCTAAAGAAACAGAAAAAATTAAAAAGAGATATGCCGCGTATTTAACAACAACAGTTGATATCACTATCGAAGCTAACAAAAGTCATTAACTTCCTCGACATTACGTTCGATCTAAAGATTCTTCCCATCGCCTTACACTAAGCCCAACACCTCTTTGCAATACATCCACTGCACCAGAAAACCATCCTCCTCAAGCATTTACAAAGAATTACCCGATACCATGAACAAACGCCTTTCATGTCCTTATCATCCGACGGGCATCATTCGACCAAACAATCCCTCATACCAAAACGCGAGCGAAAATGGATATCATTACACGCTGAAATATGACCCAAACGCTAATACGAAACGGAAAAACAGATTTAGAAATAACATACTCTGGTACAAGCCACCATACAGCAAGAATGTCAGCACAAACATCGGCTGCAAATTCATCTCACTAATTGACAAGCACTTTCCCATAGACCACAAACTAAGAAAACTATTTAACCGCAACACAATTAAATTAAGTTTCAGCTGCATGAACAATATGGAACATATCATTAATAACCATAACAAACGCATATTGAGAGAACCTGACAATACTAAAGACACCATCAATGACAAAAATACACAAACTAAAACATGCAACTGCCGTCAAAACCAAAACTGCCCACTTAACGTGAAACTGCCTACAATCATCTGTCATACAAGCAACTGTTAAACGTTTGAACAATACCTACTAAGACATCGGACTTACAGAAAAACGAATTTAAGACTCGACACAGGAACCATACTGCCTCTTTTCATACAAAAAACTAAAAACTCCACCGAACTCAACAAACACATATGGACACTAAAGAGACAACAACATCGCTCACAATATCTCATGGAACATCATTACTCACCTTAAACCGTACAACAGCATAAACAAAAAGATGCAACCTATGCCTGAAGAAAAATTCTAATCACCTACCAGCCAAGCTATCATCACTCAACAAACTATAACGGAGCTTATCTCCTCTTGTCGCCATAGACACAAAGCACTTTTATGTAATTTGTAATCATTACCTCAATATATTAAATGTAATTCTATCTCAATTTTAACCTAACTTCCTCTTGCATATATAATCTAGCACATGCTTTTGTATTCATTTAATATATCCCTGAAGAGTGAAAATCCTGAAACAGGCTTGTCGGAGATGAAATTGTAGTTTTTGTGTATTTTTCTTCTTCTCAAATCAATATTTACGCTCTGCTCTTAAGCATCGAGCACTGTACTTGTGGACATTCAAATAAACAAAACTTCCTATATATATATATTTATATAGATGTGTAGTGGTGCTGAGAGAAACATTGTATTTATCTGGATAGTTTTGCTTCGTGACTGCTACTCTTCAGGGATTATATTAAGTGAATACAAAGCATGTGCTAGATTAAACTCTGAAGAGTGAGCAATCACGAAACAGGCTTGTCGGGATGAAATTGTAGTTTTGTGTATTTTCTCAACACCACTACACATCACGCTCTGCTCTTGGGCATCGAGCACTGTTTTATACGGAAAATCATAAATTATAACTTCCTCATATATATATATATATATATATATATATATATATATATATATATATATATATATATATATATATATATATATGTGTGTAGTTAGAAAATACACAAAAACTACAATTTCATCCCGACAAGCCTGTTTCTGTGATTGCTCACCTTCAGGGATTTAATGAATAAAATACTTAAATGCTTAAAATATATATACAAGATGATGACGAAGTAGTGTATTAATAAGGTGTATAATTTCAAGTTAGATGACGGAAGTTAGAGTATTAATTACGGTGTATGGTTACAAATTACATAGGAGTGTTTTGGATCTATGGCGACAAGAGGAAACAAGTTCGTTGCGTTTATTGAGGGATGATTTGGATGGTTGGTAGAGGATGAAGAATTTTTCTTTGAGGCAAAGGTTGCATCTTTACTGGTGCTGTTGTATGGTTTGCTGTGTGATGATGTTCCATGAGATGTCGTGGTCGATATTGCTGTCTTTAAGGGTCCAAATGTGCTTACTGAGCTCGGTCGAGTTTCGTAGTTTTTGTGGCGGAAAGAGGCAGTGTGATTTCTATGTCTAGTCTTAAATTCGTTTTCTGTAAGTCCAATGTACGTCCTAGTTGTGTTATTGTCTTTGCGTTTTACAGTAGCTTGGTAAACAACGGATGACTGGGCAGGTTTCCGTTAAGTGGGCAGTTTTGTTTTTGTCGGCAGTTGCATGTTTTTGTAAGTGTCTTTTTGTTCGCGGTGTTGTCGTTAGTTTTGTCTGATGTTCTCAATATATGTTTGTTATGGTTGTTGATTATTTGTTCGATATTGTTCATGCAGCTGTAGCTGAGTTTGATGGTGTTACGGTTGAATATTTTCCTGAGTTTATGGTCCATGGGGAAGTGTTTGTCGATTAATGAAAGGAATTTGTGGCAATGTTCGTGTAGACGTTTTGCTGAATGGAGGGTTGTACCAAAGTATATTTTGTCGAAGTCTGTTTTTCCGTTTGGTAGTAGCGTCTGAGTCGAATTTTAATGTGTATCGGTATCCGTTTTCGTCGAGTGCTTTTTGGTATGGTGCAGTTATTTGGTCAAATGATGCTTTGTCGGATGATAGTGAAGATAGACGTTTGTTGATGGCGTCGGGTATGTTCCTGTTATGGTTGGTGGATGGTTGCTTCGCTGTGGACGTATTGGAGAGAAGAGTTGGGTTTTGTGTAAGGGCGATATGAAAATTGTTAAGATTGAAGGTGATGTCAAGGAAGTTGATGATTTTTTGTTTACTAGTTATGCGTAGTCCATTGTTGTTGAATATCCGGCATATTTCCTTTTTAATGTTCTCTGTTTCTCGTGGTGTGGTGTTTGAAATGGCAAGTCCGTCGTCTCGATAAAGTCCTATGTCTGTTGTGATGTTTTGAAGTTGAGAAAGGAGGTAGCTTCCTACGAGTTCGCATGTCTCAGCTCCGTCGAAGCTACCCATTGTGACGTCGAATGTTGAGTTATATTTCTTTTGCCAGGGTTGTTGGTTGTGTATAAGGAATGAATTCTTAGCGTGTATAATGATGTTTTTTTCGGCGTTTGTGATGTTGTCGTAGGTTGAGGCAAAATCCAGTGCTTTGTTTAGTAGGATGGATTAAAGTCTACGATGTCGAAGGATATGAAGGTGACGTTTTTTTTGTGTTTGATAGATTTGAACCACTGGATCACAGATGATGAGTTTTTCCATTGGTTGTATGAGGTTGTTTTTATGATGTTGCTGTTAATTCTGTCTAGTATTTTCTTGCTAATTTTACCAACTTCAGATTTTGTTGGGTTGATAAGTCGGCAGGTTGGTTTATTCGTAAAGTTTGGCTTATGGTCTTTGGAGTGTTATGAGAATGCGTTTTATGGGCGGTGGCGCTCTATCTGGCTCAGATATACCAAGCCGTGATGTGATATTTTGGTTCTGTGTGGATATGGCACTATTGTCGGCGTTTGATTTCTTGTATGATTTTGTGATGTTTTGTTCAAGGAGGTCGTAGTATGTTGGCGTCTAGTTTGTAGAAATTTGTTGTTTTTCGGCAGCGATTAGAAGCCGCTTCGTGTTCCATGGTGGCGTGTGGTCTTTCATTTTGTTAAAGGAATGTGCTGTTCACGTCTTTAAACTTTATCGATTGTATTCATTTTGTGCATGTCTTTCTCGAAATCTTCTTGTCGCCATAGATCTAAAACACTCCTATGTAATTCTGTAAACCATACACTGTAATTAATACTCTAACTTCCGTCATCTAACTTGAAATTATACACCTTGATTAATACACTAACTTCCGTCATCATCTTGTATATATTTTTAAGCATTTAAGTATTTTATTCATTA